TATATATATATATAGTGCTCATAATTAATATTTATATATATAATGATGTGTATAATATTAATAATTATTTTTTTATCCAAGTTGGAGTTGGACATGGAAAGTCCATGAAGGACACACACTTACGTATACCCATTTTGAATGGGATTTGCAATTTTCCATAAAATTCAATTGTGGATTGGATTTGAAAAAATGTAAACTACTGTTTCTAACTTTTTCATAACCTAATGGGAAGGTGTTGGTGATTTGCAATATATATACATGTATCATCAAAAGAAATAGAGGCGTACAGAATATTCGGGAGAACTGAAAGACCAAGAGAACAATATTCATTACAAGGAAAGATACTATACTTACATTAAGGCTGAAGGTTTTTTAGAAAAACTTAGCACTGTATTTTTCATTTAATTTGTTCGCGGGTTTTATTGATCAAAGAGTTGATAGCAAGGATCGGTCTCGGTGTGGATACGCATAGAGTCTTCGCGCAATCGAAGAAATTTTGAAACGAGACTCTCTTTACCAGGTACATCTTAGATCTGATCTTTGGCATGTAAATAAATTTTAAACACGACAAGATCTGCCTAAGATTGTTATTGTCTTCCGCTGCGTGTTACGAACACCTATACGCAATCCTTCNAATTATACTTGACATGAACACATAGTTGGTCGCCTATTAGGATTTGACTGTTGAACCAATCCTAGGGTGATCCAGAGCTATAAGGACGGAAGGAATTACTACATTATTCTTCTACTGCTTCTTGAGAGTAAAGTGTATACTTCATTCTATCCGGTCGTTAAGGAGTGTTGCTAGACGCCGCCCTTGATTAGTATATTGATGTGATCAATTTACTACCAATTTAGTATTGAACCTATGGGGTCGCACACTTGCGAGTGTTCTGATCTTTGCTAAAGGATTAATTAACTTATTATTTAATAATTAAATTAAGAAATTTAATTAGTCAAATAGATTTAGTTATTAGTCCAAATGAAATATTATTATATTCTTTGCTAGCANAATAAAATATATATACATATATGTCAAACTATTGAGATAATTCGTAACTTGAATTTGAAATTTATGTATTAGATATGGCGGTAATCCATAATAGGTTATTGGATTCTAGTGTTATTTTAATTGTTATTAGTTCATGAGATGTTAATTAATAATAGTTTTCTGGCATGAATTATTTTTATGTGATATATAAGATATACATGTTGAATTTTATTTTTATGTCACGTGCTTGTTCATTACCTAATTTTGAATTATTTATTACATGTGATGTAAATTAATTTAGGACTAAGCATGTAGATAATTTGAACTAAATTCACATGCTATAAAAGATTTGATCTTCATGTTATTAAAAACTGTTTTA